ACTCACTATGGCCCAGGCTGGTCTCGAACTCACAGCGATCCTCCTGCCTCAGCCTCGCGAGTGCTGGGATTACAGGCGTGCACCACCACTCCCGGCTAGATTTTTCTCATAACAAAAGCCTTCTGATTGCTTTAATCTTTTTCTGTGCTGAAAATTTTTTCTTTATTTCTTGTTTGATGTAGAATTCTAAGTTGATAGTTATTTTCTTTCAGTATTTTCGAGGTACTGACTGTCTTCCTTTTCACTGTTTCCATGAGAAATACGATATTTTTTATTTTCTTTGCATGATGTGTTATTTTTCTATGGCTGTTTAAAAATTTTATTACAAGTCATGTCCACTTTAATTATGATGTTTCTTTGTATACTTTTCTTCTTTTTTTTTTTTTAGTTTCTGGAGTCTTTTGCATTTGTGAGTTTATAGTTTTTCATAAGGTTTGGGGAATTTGGGTAATTATTTTTTTCAAGTAGTTTTTCTCCTCCCTCCTTTTTTCTCCTGAATTCAAAGACTTGATTACCTGTGGATTAGCCTGCTTGAAGTTGTTTTACAGCTCACTAATGTTTTCACTCAATCAAATTATCTATATTTTTAAATTTTGGTTTTATTTTACTTTGTTACTGTGTTACATTTACTGATCTTTTCTTCTTTAATGTCAAATCTCTTATTTATTTATTTTTTCTCTCAGGCATTACACTTTTCATGACTAGAATTTCTGTTTGGGACTTTAAATAAATATCTTTTGAGTTGTTAGCTTTTTTTGCACATGCAGAATTCAAGTGTAATAATTGTTTTAATGTCCTCCCTTGCTAATACCAGCATCTCTGTCAGTTCTGGCTCCATTCTCATGGGTTATTCTCATGATTTTGTGTATTTTCCTGACTACGCATGTCTGGTATCTTAGGTTGGGTGGCAGGCACTGTATGTTACTGGTGTTGGCTATTTTTGTGTTCCTTTGACAGTTCTTGAGCTTTGTTTTTGGGTGCATTAAACTGCATGGAAACAGTTAATATTTTCACATTTTGCATTTATGATTTTTATGTGGATCTGAAGGAGTACTTCATTTAGTGCTAATTGTTTTCTTTTACTGAAGAAGGACTTAGGAACATTTTGGCCCATGTCGCAATGATTCTGCATTTTTCCAGTCCTGCTAGTGAGAACATCTACTCTCTTCTCAGTAATCTTTTCAGATTTATTTTCCTTCTCTTGTATATTTTCCTCACTTGCATGCTCCCTTATCGTCACTCAGCCGAGTGTTGGAAAGGCTTCTGCAAGTCTCTCGGTTCTCTGTGCAGCGCTCTCTCTTCTCTGGTGACTCCTCGTTGGATGCCCAGCCCTTTCCCTGTGTGTCTCTTGCCTGAGTGTCCTCTAACCGTTCTGCCTCTTGAGAACTTCTCCAAGTCATAGTTATCTGGGGTAATTGAGTAGTTTATCTTGTTTCCTATCTTTCAACATTCGCTACTTTTGTTGCTTCTTGTCAAACGTCTTTAAAAAGACGTCTTCCATATAGTTTGTCTGTTTTTTGTTTGCTTTGGGTGGG